CCTTCCTATACGCCCCCCCCCCCACACACACACATGCCCTGAGCTTACGCACCTGCTCAAATTGGTTGCTGCTGTTGGTGCTCCCTTTTGCTGCCTGCTTGGGCGCCGCGCGCCGCACAAGGCCGCTCCTAGCGCTGGCAATTGCCTCCAATGCTTTTGCGGCCTCGCCGCGTGCCGGGTCCTCTGACTGAGCGAAGACGGTCAGGGCGCCAAGGGCACCCTTCTCTGCAGCGACGCGCCGCGCCAGCTCCGGCTCCGCGAAGGCGACAGCCGCGAGGGTCAACATCGCATTACAGCCGTCACCAGGCCCGGCCGCTGCAACCAGCGCATGCAGCACGCCGTCCTGGTCAGCGACCCGCCGCGCCAGGTCAGCGCCAGCACGCGCAAAGCAGTAGAGGGTGACGATTTCGTTCATGCTGCAGACGTTCTTGTCCACAACTGCCGCCGCCAGGGCGCCGAGCACCCCTTGCGCGTCTGCCGTGCTGCGCGCCAGGTCAGCACTGTGCAAAATGATCAAGTTCAGCAGCCCCAGGGCGCAGAGACGCGTGCGGCCGCCCCTCTCAAGCGCCGCCCACAGGGCCTCCACCAGCCCCTCCTCGGCCCCCAGGCGCAGCGCTAGGGCGGCGTCGTGCTGCGCCATGCAGGCCACAGTCAGCGCCACCGCCGCGTTGTCGCCGGCGCCGCCGCCGCCGCAGACCACAGCGGCCAGCCTGCGCGGCACGCCGTCCTCCAGCATAAGGCGCCGCGCCAGGTCGGGCCCGGCGATGGCGACATTCGTCAGGGCCTCCACTGCGAGCACGACGTGGTTGCCGCCTGAGAGCAGTTTCAGGATGCCGGCCAGCACGCCGTCTGCCCCCGCCACGCGCCGCGCTAGGTCGGGGCTTGCGGCGCACGCCGCCGCCAGCGCGCACGCGGCTTCGGACCAGGCGGCGCCGCTGCCTGCACGCAGCGCCGCGGCGAGTTCCTCCAGTAACCCTTCCGTGGCAATCATGCGCTGTTTGAGGCCCTCATCCCTAGCACAAAGGATGACACAGAGCGTCCGCAACGCAAAGAAAGCTGTCGCGCCGACGATGCCGCCGGCGCAGCCTACGGTGGTGCGCCCGGCTCCCGCCAGGGCGACCAAAGCACTCAGCGCCCCCTCCTCTGAGGCCACGCGCCCCGCCAGGTCAGCGCCCTCAAGGCAGATGGCATGGAGTGCAACCACGGCGTGCGCGGGGGCGCCGCCGCGCAGCGCCGCCACGAGCCCGCGCGCCGCGCCCTTGTGTTCGCCGACGCGGCGCGTGTGCGGCAGTCCCGACTGTCCGAGCATGGAGAGCAGCGCGGCTGCATCCCTGGCGATGCGGGGGTCGCAGCTGCTCAGCGCCGCCACCGTAGCAGCCAGAGCGTCGTCGCTCTCCAACGCCTCCAGCACACAATGCCAGGCCGAGCGCCTGGCACAGAGCGTGGCGAGCGCCGCCAGCGCCGCGGCCGCGGCGCTACCGCACCCCTGGTCGGCGCAGCTGGCTCGCAGCGCGCCTGAGAGGGCGCTCAGGGCCGCGCGCGCCGCCGGGGCGCCTGGGCGGCGGACGACGACCTGCGCCTGGTGCAGGGCTGCTGACCTAAGGAGCGCGGCGGCGCGGTCGCCGCTGGGCTGTGCATCCTGCGGAAGGCGGGCAGGCACGCGCACGCGCTGGGTATTGACGCAGCACTCGCAGCCTTGGTGCGAGTGCATGGGTGCTGCGCAAGGGTGCGGTAGGATCGATCGATTGAAGGTGCTTTGCTGTGGTCAAGACGGCGCGCATTCTGCGCCTGCGCACGTACCCCCATGCATGTTCTGTAAATGCCGCACCTGCGAATAGCACAGTATGTGTGCGTGCCCTTTCGGCACGTAGCTTGTTATTTGCGTAAACTTGCGCGGCATCTCAGCTTCTCTTTTGATAAGTCTGAAAGTCGGTTCAGGTCATCCTGAACTCATGAACCAGGCTGCACCGGTCCGTCGGGATGATTTTGCATCAAAGAAATGTCAGATACCAAGAATAATGCGTGTGTATCTTATCGAACATTCAAAACCAGCTGCAAGTACCTGTACGGCCCCTGCAGGTCCTGTCAGTTGGCCCAAGCCCGAGCAACTGCCAGTGCCCAGCGAGGCCATGTGCCGGCGCCCCGCCGCGTGTGACAGGCCATGGGTATAGTTGCTTCTATGGAGCTATTATGCTGCACTTGTCGCCCCTCTCCTCCAGTGATGTGTGATTAAATCGGCTGTATGACTCCATCAAGCAACCTCGCCCCCAACCTCCTCGGCAGTCGCAGCGCTGCTCGTAGCCCCACCTCGCGACGCACAGACCCCACAAACCACACTCCCGCCTCATGACTCACACGCCTGAGCCGCACCAATGTGTCAGCCCCCCGCGCAGCTGGCCGGACCTGTTGTGCAGGCAGGCCCTCCTGGCCTCTCGACACAGCAGGCTGCCTGGGCACAGGCTGGCAGGGTGGGAGCGGTTTCGCACCGCACGCCGATCTTTTTTGCAGCACTGCGCAACGTGAGTAGATGCGATGCTGACTTCGCCTGCCCCGAACCGTGCAGTCCAGCGACCTTTGATATGCTTCGAGCTGCCCCAACGTTCCGCTAACAAAGGATGAGATCTTGGTATATTATCTGGGACTTTCGGCCGAGGATGCCTGGGGTCACGTGCCCCAAGACTCCCGTCAGCTGGAGCCCCGTGCACGTCCTGCTGCATCCGCGCGCCTCTACACAAATTTGCACACATGCAGGCACACGCACGTGCGCACGCACGTGCGCTCACACACACACTCACACACAGGTACACGCACACGTGCGCGCACACACACTCTCACACACATACACATGCACGCATGTGCACTCACAGACACACACTACATATACACCTCCTCTTCCCTTTTTCTCCCGCTATTTTTGTCTTTGCCGCGCGCATGAATTGCCGGGGTAGTGCCGCCGCCCCCACCAGTCAGGGTCCTCGGCAGCTCGCGTGGGTTGACGAGGGACCGCTGCACCACTCAGATGAATGGGTTTATTGGAGCCAGCGAGCCGGGGCGGCCTTGACGCGTCCTTGGCGCGAGTGGGGCGGGCGCACAGGGGGCGATGGCGGCCGGGAACCACCGCCCCATTCCGCTTGTGTGCTGCCATGAATCGGTTGTGTGCGCACTCCGTTACAGCAGGGGAAGTCCACAGTTTGGCTGCGCGCAAGTCAAGAGCGTGGTTACACCAACCATCCCGTGATCTGTGGTGCTCTGGCTGCTGCTTGGTCTTGTCAAAACAGGGCAACAGGGTCAGGCGGTGCGCTCACCACTCGCCGCTGCAAGCAGCAGCAGCAGCAGCAGCAGCAGCAGCAGCAGCAGCAGCAGCAGCAGCAGCAGCAGCAGCAGCAGCAGCAGCAGCAGCAGCAGCAGCAGCAGCAGCAGCAGCAGCAGCAGCAGCAGCAGCACGACCTCGCCAAAATGTAAATACAGAAGAGTCAAGTCAAGTCAAATCAAAGGCGACCCGAGCCGCGGCCGCGCGATCAGGTGCCACAATGAACCACGCACGCCCGGCGTGCGCATGACAGGGGGTTGGGGTTGACCTTGCCTCATCATGAGAGGTGCAGGGGGGTGTCATTGCTGCCGCTGCTGCGTGATGCGTGCTGCATGCTGCATGCTTGGGTGTTGCTGTGGTTGCCGTCACTGCTGCTGCTGATAATGGAAACGGTGGTGCTCCTGGCCGCCCCCGCCCTGACCGTTGGCGTGCCCGCCGCCGTCGTGCGCGCCGCCCGCCGCGGGCGCGCCCCCCGCGGCGAGGGGCCGTCCCAGCAGCAGCTTGGGGCGCTTCGGGGGCGCTGAGGGGTCGTCCGGCGCCGCGCCCGCCGGCGCCAGGTCGTGCGGCTGCTGCAGCTGGCCGCCGTCCAGGTGGGCCGCCGCATGCGGCGGCGGCTCGGGCGACGCCCGCTTGATGCCAAGCGGCAAGGCGCCGGGGTGCAGCTGCTGCTGCTGCTGCTGCTGCTGCTGCTGCTGCTGCTGTGGCGGCGGGTGCTGCTGCTGCAGGGGTGACGCGCCCGGGAGCTTCATCTTGATGCCCCCCAGCCGCACCCGCGGCGCCGTCCCCCTGCTGCCGCCCGACGCCCCCAAAGACTGCTCCGCCGACGCCGCCGGCCGCGGCGGCAGGCCC